AAGATTTAATTTAGGCTCTAAAAGCATAAATTAAAAAAATCTCAATTATTATTTAAGTAACCTAGGAGGCAACCAAATTCTTTCATAGATAGGTTTCCCATTAGAAAAACTACCTATTAAGATGAATGTATACACTAAATAGTATTATTGTAATACTTTTAATTATTAATATCATATACTTTTAATTAACCAATTATTAATTCCTCCTTAGGGCTGAAGCTGAAGGTAAGAACTAGCAATCAAACACATAGGCAAAAACCTTCAGCTTCGACCATTTAGTATCTCCATCTGGATGATCTTTCTAAGGACTTCTAAACAGAATTACAGACCATAAGGCCGTTGGCAATGAATATTTTAAATATTAAATTTTTATATTAAATATTTTAAATTAAACTCATTAGTACTTGTGATAACAAGTTCTGCAGCATCCAAGGAAATTTCCTTTCCTTCAATCCTTCTCATAATTTTGTATGTTAAGTTGATGACCTCCTTTGATTGCTGTCACTGCTTAAGGAGTTGCTCAAGCTTGTTTCTCCCAAGTGAGTGTCCAGTTAGAACCATTGGGACATTCAAAGCTCCAGAGAGCAGAGAAGCAGTGTCCCCAGCATCAGCATAATGGCCATGAATCACATATGGCCATATGGGCTGGCCCCCACCAATTTGTTCACCCAAAACTTTAGACATGTTAAGAATACGTGCTAAAGCTCCATCTACAAATTCCTGAATATAGGGCCATAATAACACTTTATGAAGATACTTACCATGCACATGGACCAAAGGAATCCTGATAATGTAAGCCCCACTGCCTTCTCCAACATCACTACCATCTGCATCTTCAGCACCTGCAGTTAGCATTTCTGTAGGTTCACCATACCTCCAATCAACTTCAGGTGAGCAGATCTGGCGAGTAAAAGGATCTACTCTATACACCCCTGGCATCTTTGCAAGTGCCCTGGCAAGCTCTACCTCATATTTGACTTGAGAAATTATTTTCATAAAAGCATAGAGAAGGAAATGAAATTAGAAAAAGGTACATAATGATATTTTCTACTTGCACTGGGATGCTGCAGGTACCTGTCCACCTCTGTCAGAATCTCTACCAAGCTCCATGTTTTCACCCCGCACCAGCCCATGCAAACTGTTCGTAAGTAGAAATGCAATTATAAATTACATGCTTTGAAAGATATTGCCTTTACTGAATTATAAAATCAGAATTTATAGTGGGATGTAAAGCATATTAACATCCACCATGCAACTCTAGGGGAAAAAATTCTATAGCTATTGTTAGAGAACCAACTTGATAATGTCTTTAGTTCAACAACTCAAATCATTTCAACTATAATTGGTTGCAAAAGAAGTTGCTAACTATAAGATTAATAATCATCATTCCCAATATGACTATCAAGATATTTGTTGCTTTGAACTACAATTCCTATCACTTTTGCATTTCAGGTGCAACTACTGCTTTGGAAATCTCAAGAACACCTTAAAAAGTAGCCAGTTGGTTGCAACCCTTCTAAATTGACAAGTTTTTACCCTTCCCTCTAGTTTTGAGCATCAAATTGAAATATCCAATGATAAAATGCATTTGGAACAGAACACTTGATATCATTCTAGTGACTGCAACATCTGACTTCTTAACATAGCCTAAGAGACAAGAAAGCCAATGACTGTTAACATTGAGGCATGAACTATTCCAATTAGTACTTTGGTTTACAGTGACCATCAATAAGTTCTACCGAGGATGATACCTGATGAGGACAATATAAAGTTTCTTGTCCTTTTTGTCATCTGACCATACTTCCAAGATGGAAAAATTTCTCTGCGACCTTTGCCTTGGTGTTTCACATGGCACCATTTCCCCTGTAATATCTCCCTTCTCTCCTTCCGACGAGTCCTCGGACATATCCTCTGTGACGTCCCTGAGTCCTTGTTCCCGTTCCCGTCTCCTCTTTGCCAATCTTTGGTTTTCTTCAGATTCCAGCTATTTGGACCACAAGCAAAAAATTTAAGTTTTCCCCATTGTAAATAGACAGCCTTAATTACCTTAAACATAACATAATCATAAGATTTTCTGACAAAACCAGAAAACAACTACTAAAATAAAGGATGAGTTTTCCTTCATGAAGTTTCATTGTTCTACAACATCTACGCAGGGGAGAGAGGAGGACCTGCTTCTTTTTGCGGGTGAGATGCCAAATGCGCCAGCACATGTTCTCGAGCCTGGAGCTGCGCTTGCGGGTTGTTGCGGGTGGCGACCACCTTGATCCATGTCCGGTACAGATCAGACTCATCGACCCCCGTCACCACCTCCTCCACAAAATACTTGGTCGGATTGAAATGCCCTCCTCTTTTATTCACCTGTGACGGCTTATGCTCCTCTATGGTCGTCGCCCCAGTATCCAAAATCGCCTCCAGGTACCCATTTATCCACTCGTTTCCAGCCATTCTTTCTCCCCTTCACTTTCCCAAGAAAATCAAACTTTATGGCCTTTTTTGTCAGTTCCCCACAACAACACCTTACATGCAAATCTTTCTGCAACTTTCTTGCTCTCTTTAGGCCGTTTCCTCCTTTGTCAAACAAGAAAATCACGTGAAAGCTACCTCTTTTCTCGCTTTTCTCAGTAATTTTCCGGGGAAATCAATTCTTTCCCCACTCTCTCAATGGATTACTTCAAAAAGTCACAAACATACACCCAGTTGAAATCCAGCATTCAGAAAATTTCTCGAAATCCCTCCCTGAAACAGATAGAACCCAATAATCCGGCAACATTGTTATCTTGGATAAAAAAAAAAGAAATCAATATATAAGAGAAGAAAATCTTGAATCAAGAAAAAGTTGAGATTTTTTTGAAATTGAAACAGAGGAATGGAAGGGAAGAGAAAATGGGAGTGACTGTTCTGAGTTTGAGCTTTGCTGATTGGCGATAATGGTGGAGAGGTAGAGAAGAGAAAGAAATTGAAAGGTAACGCATGGCGGAGAAGTGTGGGGCCGAGATTTGTCCACGTGTAGAAAGGAGATTTGGGAGGGATGAGTTTTACCTTTTCTGAGGATATTGTGCGGTTCCCTATGCATGCTGCCGTCTGTTCTCTGTTTTTTGGGCTGGGTTTCTTCCCTTCCGGTTAGGCAGCCGGTTTCCTCTCCGGTGGGTTTTCTCTCCATTCTCGACACGATTTCTTTACATTGACGGTCGCGAATTCTCAATTTTTATTTTAGTTTGGTTTAGATTAAATGTTAATTTTAGTTTTTGAATTTTTTTGTATTTTTTATTTTTAAATTATAAAAAGAATATTTTTTGACTTTTTATTTAATTTTTAATTAATTAATCAGTTAA